TAATGAAATAAAAATAATTAAAACAAGTGTTTTAACAACTAGGTTAACTAATGATTTTAGCACAGCAAAAATGTGAAATATAGGTATGGCAATTTAAAATAAAATAAAGAGATAAGGGAGAGAGAGACAAACAAATTTGTAGTGGTTCGGTTTCAACTTGGCCTACGTCCACTCCTCAAGCTTCGCTTGAGATTTTCCACTATACTCTAGCTTTACAGGGTGCTAGCAACCTTTTCACAATGAAGCAATCCTCCACAGATTTTACACTGACTTTCTAAGTCAAGAACACTGAATGTACTACACTCTTACAAGATTGAAAAAAATGTGTTTTTACTTTCACAGAAAGCTACAAGAATTATCTCTCAAAAATAGATATAAAAATGAAACTCTAGTTTTTCTGTAAATCTCACACAGGAAAGATGAGCTTAATGCTATAAGGCTCAGTGTATAATTTCTGAGAGATGATGTAAACAAAAATTGAAAAACATTTCTCAGAGAATTTTTCAGAGAATAGATGTGAGTGATTACAGATCAAAGAATATTTTTTTTTTTTTTTTTTTTTGTAACTTGTTTACATTAGAGGTTTTGGTATATATAATGAAAATTATAGCCGTTTATAGCCGTTGTAGTCATTTGAATTTATAGTCGTTGTACTCCATCATTACTAATTTGAATATCTTCTACTCCATTATTACAAATTTGAATATCTTCCACTTGAACCTTTTGAACCTTTTGAACTGTGCTGTGCTGGGCTGTTTGAACCTCTGTTTTTCGGCTGTTTGAACTCCTGATTTAATCAAATATTAAATACATTCTAACAACATTTAGGATAAAGATTTAGGTGAGAAATAATGGGACAAAATAAATTTTGATTTTATTAAAACATAAAATCATCAAAATAAATGTTGATTCTATTTTTTTCTTTCAAATAAATCTATCAAAATAAATTTTGATTATATTTTTTTCTTTCAAATAAATTATCAAAATAAATTTTGATTCTATTTTTCTCTTCCAGATAAATTAAAACATAATTAAATAAATCATCAAAATAAATAAGTCTAACGAAATTTATAGTGATAAATTTATCAGTCAGGACTTGTAAGTAAATAAGTCTAGTCAATAGACCAGGCTTGCAAGTGCCTCTTATATTTGCTGTTTTTTGTTGTTGTTGTTTATATTTACATAATTTTTGAAAGCTATAAACAAAATTCATTTGGTTTTTGTTTTCGTTTTCGTTTTCAAAAAGTTGCAAACAGCGTACAAAATTTATTAAATTTTGTAAACACAAAAAAAGTTGATTTTGTTTTCTATTTATTTTATTTTATTTTTTTTTGACATTTCTTCTTCTTTCTCCTATGCGTTCTGACTACCACCCATTACTCTTCCATCCCGATCTACCCCATTCTCGTCTCAATTGTTTTTAATATAATAACCAAACCAAACCAAACGAAGCCTTAAGTCCCATCAAATGGGGTCGGCTACATGAATCCTTCTTCTCCACGCGGCCCTATCAAAGGCCATTTCATTAGTCAAATTAAGTAGATTCATATCTCTATTTATAACGCTAGTCAACGTTAATCTAGGCCTACCCCGTCCCCTAACACTTCCATCTACCGTTACAGCATCGCATCTCTTCACTACTGCCTCTGTTGGTCTGCGTTGAATATGACCAAACCATCTCAAACGATTCTCTCTCAACTTATCTTCTATCGGTGCTACTCCTACCCATTCCCGAATACACTCATTGCTAATCTTGTCTTGTCTAGTCTTACCACACATCCACCTTAGCATCCTCATCTCAGCCACACTCATCTTATCTACATGTTGTTTCTTGGAGCAAATATTTAGGTGGCGACTCTGTATCTGGCAAAGCAGTCCATGTTTGGCACTTCTTTTCAAAAATCTGTTTCTCAAAACGATTTGCCGGATTTGGACTCTTTGGTTCAGATTAAGAACCGTGACAATTCGAGAGTCCGAACTGTAGTGAGCCCAAACGAACAGAACGGGACTCATCCTCCCGAGGCGTTCGGGGACGTCTACAAGGAGCCACCTTGATCTATCAATATGCGCCTTACCTAGCATTCTCCGACCTTTAGAGTCATTATTAGAGCATCGTTGTGTGGATGTTGTACTATGTCTAGGTCTTCCTCTGTGAACGATATCATTGGCCCCTGATGCTTTTTTATATAGGGCTTCTTTTGCTGGACTTGGTAGACATGTTGCAAATGCCTTACCCTCTATGTCTCATCTCGGATTTCGTTCTTGTTGACCCTTATATGGATCATGTTGATAACCCATGGTCTATCTGCATGTGGAGGTGGATGTGGATGTGGATGTGCCTCTCCTGGCACCTGGGCCAACTTCGTTTGTTCCTCTCGTGTTCTTGATTCGTCTATCAAATCTCTCAAGTGTCCTTGTCTGACCAGATCTTCCAGGTATTGCTTCAGGGCCCTGTACCTTTGGGTTATATGTCTATTTTCGTCGTGGTAGGTACAACTCTTCCTAGGGTTTCTGCCCATATAATCCCCCGGGATCTTTTGTGGCGATCTAAAGTAAGGCTGATTTCGAATCCTTTCTAAGACCCTATAAATGGGGATCTTGAAAACCGTGCTCACATCCTGTATAGCCTTTAACCTAGGTTCTGAATTGTTAGTATCATTATTTCCTCAGCCATGCTTTGGTGAGCGCTCTTCTCCTGCATTTGTCACGACCCAAACCCCCCTTGTAAGTTTAGCGTCATAATCGGCCGATAATCCTAGGGTTACCAAAAGCCTCTGAACAGATTAACACATAATAAGGGGTTACGAAAGCAGATATATGAAACACACATCGTCCATTAAACTGTGTAGACATACATGGGACATGAATTTTAAACTTTAATCACACACATACGTGACAACATATTAACAAAGTCTTATGTCACCATCACATGTACACATAGTCAAACTGAGACTTAGCCCGAGAAACGATCATACAAAAACTTGTTCAAACTAAATAAGAAAGTAGAAGACTTATAAATAATTCACAAACTCAACCGTCAAACTTCTCGAAAACCTCCTCAGGAGGCACAGTGGTTGGCCGACACAAAATATATCTTCAGACTGCCATTATTGAGCATTGTCATGCACCTGATCACCTACATACATAGATAATAAAGTAAGCGGGAGCCTAGTGAATACTAACAGAATAAAGGGGTTTAAATACAAGATGTCTTATATCAGATTCAGAAAGTAGATTCATTTTTATTTCAGAAACAGAGGCAGATTCACATTTGTATTCTTGTTCAGATCATATACAAAACTCAAGGTTCATACTTAATTATATGTGATACATCCACTAGCGCTAACAGAACATATGCAAAACAGATACAGAATAGATGGTGGTTATGAGTAACCAGCTCCATAAAGGAACCTCGGATCCAGGTAACAGATAATAGATATGCTGAGCTCTATGATGGAGCCTCCAGTACGGGTAACAAATAATAGATATACTAAGTTCCATGATGGAACCTCCGATATCGGATAACAGCTAACATATATGCTAAGGATGCCACGAATACTTGTCAGAAATTGGACAATCATTCATTGTACAGAACATAAATAGATCTTATTTCATCATACAGAAAATAAATAAAGTTGAACATAGCTTTATTAAGTCATTACTCACTGATGGCTCCAAAAACAGACAGACGAAGCAGATAGACAGAGCAGACAGATTAAATAGCTTACGACACGTGGCCTACACAAACAGATAACAAATACACATGCTCGGAAAATATTTAACTCATTACATTTCGTTCTTAGTGTGTTTCTAAATCTTATCATCATTATTATGTCTTAATTAAGGTTTAAGAATGCCTAAGATGCAATGAGGATACTAAAATGTACTTTGGAACACTTAACCAAATTTTCAAAAATAGGCAGTTCGCTCGAGCAGTCTGCAAAGTCTAGAAAAGTACTAGTTGCATGATTTTTCAACTCGACGGACGCTCGATGGTCGCTTAAGCCAAAGGCTGAGTAAACAAAATCCTCGCTCGAGTGCAATTTTAGTCGCTCGAGCGGTCTGCAAAGTTCTGTAAAACTTTTGGGAACATGAATTTATGCTCAAGCTTAGACTTCTTCGCTTGAGCGGAGGTACAAAACAAAGGGTGGTCGTTCGAGCGCTAGATGACCACCTCAAGACAAATATTTATGAAAAAATTATACTAGCCAGTCAATCACTCGGTCGTCCGCCCGGTCAAACGATGGTTTGATAAAAAATCAAAACGCTTCGTTGGAACACTTGATATCAAAACAAGCCTTTACTCAAATTTTTACTCACATTTAATAAAAAAATTGATGTACCATTGAAAATCCTCTAAGGCCTAGTTTGGAAAGACTAAATAAGTGCACTTTTTTACTTTTTATGAAATATGAGTTGGGTTTGAAGTGATGTGTGAGAGAGGTGATGTGACTTAAATAAGATGATGTGACTTAAATAGGATAGTAACTTTTTGACTTTTTATCTTTTTTCAATCTTTCCAAACTAGGCCTAAATCTCAATTAATATCACTCCAAAAAAAAATAAAATTAAAAAATATTTCGACGTGACGTCAGATCTAGTTTTGGTTTAAGGGCAAATTACATATACACCCCTCCAGGTTTGACAAAATTACAGATACCCCCCTGAGGTTTGAGAAATTACGAATTCCCCCCTGAATGCTATATTTGCATAAGAAATTAGGGGGTAATTTGTTATGAAATATAAACTTCAGGGGATAAATTGTTATGAAAATACAAACCTCAGGGGGCGGGATGTAATTTCCGAAACCTCAGGGGTATCTGTAATTTAACCAAACCTGGAGGGGTGTATATGTAATTTGCCTTTTGTTTAATATAGTGATCGATCAAAGAGCAGTGTAAAATCTAACCGTGGTTAACTTGGAGTTAGGTGGGCTTCACTAGTCTGGTTTGGTAGGTGTTGTGTTGGGTGTGTTAATAAAACGCACCATTAAACTCTCCCATTCTTCTCCTCTCTCAGGACAGTCTCTCCAACCCCCACCAATTCTCAAACCAAACTCTCTCTCTCTCTCTCTCTCTCTCTCTACAATTCTCAAACCGACTTTCTCTCTCTACATTATTCTCTATCACGCTCTTTCTCTTCACTCGCCGGTTAATTCTCCGGCGGCGAATCTTCATTTCCGGCGTGGTAATTGACGAGATGCAACCGAGCTCGGTGAAGGTATCGCCGCTCGAACTGATGACGGCGATTCTGAAGGGAGAATCGGACGCCGGCGAGTCACCGGTGGCGGCGATACTGGAGAACCGGGAGCTTCTGATGATGATACTGACGACGGCCTTCTGGTCGGCCTGCGTAGTGGTGCTGCTGTGGCGGCGCTCTTCCGCCCATAAATCGCCGGCGCCGGAACAGTCGAAGCCGGTGACGGTGAAGAAGGAGCCTGAGACGGAGCCGGAAGTCGAAGACGGCAATAAGAAGGTCACCGTCTTCTTCGGCACCCAAACCGGTACGGCTGAAGGTTTCTCCAAGGTTGGTTGGTAATTATTTTCACCAAGTAAACTTGTAAAGTTTTTTTTTTCTAAATTTATCTAAAGTGGTGTATTGTATGGTTGAGATTTAATGTTAAAAAATTGATGTGACGTGTCATTAAATCTTAACCACAAAATGCACCACTCTAAAAAATTTTAAGAAAAAAAAGTTCTAGACAATACTTGCACAATTATTTTGGCTTTTGATTTTTTTTATTTTTATTATTATTATATAATTATATAATAATAAAATTAATAAACATATTTTTAACCTTATTAAAAACTGTTAATTAATTTAATAATTTATAAATAAAAGAGTTAATTTATTATGGAATTAAAAACTTCACAGCTGGAATGCAATTTTTAAAATCATAGGGCCATTCGTATTTTAATCAAACGGGTGTGTTGTAATTTATTCAAAAAAATTTGATAAGAGTGATGTGGCATTAAATAAATTCATAGTTTTGTTTTGAAATGAAATGTATGAAAATTATGTATATGCTGACAAAATTTTTTAGGGAAGAGGTATTTTATTTGTCAATTTTTTTGTTACTGTATTTTTTTAATACAAAATTAGATACTCAAAAATAAATGTTGTTTCATTTTGTGCCTAAAAATGCATTTATTGGCTATATTTTTAAAATTTTGTTGGTTTCGTAATGTTACATTATGAAAGAGTTTAGTCCATAAAAATCCATATATGTTTGTAGTGGCTTGTTAGATTTGATGTTATTGGGATTGCTTGAATGGTGGAATTACTGTTACTTTAAAATTTTGTCAATTGGTTGCTTGAGTGATTCAATTACTGTTATTTTCAGGCACTTGCTGAGGAAGCAAAAGCCAGATATGAAAAGGCCACCTTTAAAGTAGTTGATTTGGTGAGCTTGACACCTTTTTTTGTTTTTATTTAAAGGTTTGATTGTTTGATGGATGGTACTTGATTATCGATGTCGATGTTTTTTTATCAAATTATGTATATGGTTCATAGGATGATTATGCAGCAGATGATGAAGAATACGAGGAGAAGTTGAAGAAAGAGAGTTTGGCATTTTTCTTTTTAGCCACGTGAGTTTTTAATTCCTACCTGCCTCTTTAATCACATACAGACATGATGTATATATTTATATCTGATTGTTTGTAACTTTGTGCGTAGGTGTAGCTAGCTATGTATTAAATTTATTTTGTTGTTTGTTTGTTTGTGCTGTAGATATGGAGATGGTGAGCCAACAGACAATGCTGCGAGGTTCTATAAATGGTTTACAGAGGTAAATTTGAATAATTTCAGTGTATATTGATATTATGGGTATTTGAGAAAGTAGATTTGGGGGGGGTTAATTGTTTGTTATATATGATTTTTTCATAGGGTAAAGAGAGAGGGGAATGGCTTCAGAATCTTACTTATGGAGTGTTTGGCCTTGGCAACAGACAGTATGAGCACTTCAATAAGGTCTTAATTGAATTTCATCTCATCTTTTTTATCAACTTAATATATATCTATGTGTACATGTAGATGTTGCTAATTGGCTAAAAAAGTTTGAATTTGTATGTTGTTGGAAAACAGATAGCAAAGGAGGTGGATGAGCACCTTGCTGAGCAGGGTGCGTTTACGCTCTTCTAGTGACCTTTTTTGTCAATTTATGGAAACCCTTGTTGTAATGCTTATTAGTTTATGATGTGTACTTATTGTGCACTTGTTACCTTGAGTTGGTGTTTAATAAATACGTGTACTTATTGTAATGCTTATTGAGTGTTTAACATGTTTAATAAACACAGGTACTTATTGTAATGCTTATTGGAATGTTGAAGTGTTTAACATATTTAATAAACATGTGTACTTATTGTAATGTTTCTTTAACATGTGTACTTACTGTATTGTTTCCATATCGACGTATCCATACCATACTAGTACCCATAACCGTACACGTGCTTCATAGTGCATTTGTTACCTTGAGTTGGTGTTTCTTTGAGCAACCATGATGCTTGATTGTTTTGATCATTTTGCAGGCGGTAAGCGTCTTGTTCCTGTGGGTCTTGGGGATGATGATCGATGCATTGAAGATGACTTCGCTGCATGGTATTAAATACACAATTATTACCCGGAACTCATAGCATCCATTTGTAGTACTCAAGATTACAGTGGAAATAAAAGCTTAGTGATTTTTATAAGCTGTTGCTAATGTAGGCGAGAGTTGGTATGGGAGGAGTTGGATCAGTTGCTTCGGGATGAGGATGATGCAACTGTTGCAACTCCTTACACTGCTGCTGTTTTGGAATATCGTGTTGTATTTCATGACCGCATTGATGCATCCCTTTTGGACAACAGCTTGAGTAAGGCAAATGGTCATGCTGTTCATGATGCTCAACATCCATTCAGGTACACCAAAAGAATGTCTTAAATCCTATGTTTTCTTTCTTTCTTTCTGTAACCTAATATGTCGTCTCTGAATTAAGGGCTAATGTGGCTATGAAAAAGGAGCTTCATACTCCAGCTTCTGATCGTTCTTGCACCCATCTGGAATTTGACATTTCTGGCAGTGGACTTGTGTAAGTTGCAATTCTAATTCATTTAATTGTGGAAGCATATTTGTAGTAGGGTGCTCTAGCTTTTAAAGAAAACATATACTTTCCAATATCAAAAAAATTGGACGAGAATTAAATCATGCAAGTTAAGGATGTGTAATCAACCTTATTCGTTTATCTTTATTCGCATCCGTTCTCCTCAGATATGAAACTGGAGACCATGTTGGTGTCTACTGTGAGAATATAATCGAAACTGTGGAGGAGGCTGAAAGGTTATTGGGCTTATCACCAGATACTTACTTCTCAATTCACACTGATAAAGAGGATGGCACACCTCTTAGTGGAAGCTCTTTGCCATCTCCTTTTCCACCATGTAGTTTAAGAACTGCACTGACTCGTTATGCAGATCTTTTGAGCTATCCCAAGAAGGTATTTCTGTTATTTTTATTGATGCATTGTACTTAATAAAAATAAAAGTAAAAAAAAAACATATCAAAATATTGCATTGCTCATAAAACTCTCTGTGAACTATGATTTTAAATTTTTGTGAATGTATGTGTTTTCCAGTCTGCATTACTTGCCCTGGCAGCTCATGCCTCTGATTCAAGCGAAGAAGAGCGATTGAGATACCTTGCATCTTCTGCTGGAAAGGTTTGCTGTGTTTTTGTTCAGAGTTTTCATATCAAACTGGTCCCTCTATTATACTTCTAAGTATATGTGTTTTTTCTTTTCTGTACAGGATGAATATGCACAGTGGGTAATTGCAAGTCAGAGAACCCTCCTCGAGGTCATGGCAGAGTTCCCATCAGCCAAGCCTCCCCTTGGAGTTTTCTTTGCATCAGTTGCCCCACGCTTGCCGCCTAGATATTATTCAATTTCATCCTCCCCAAGGTGAATATATTCCAGCAAATCCTCCCCTCCCCCTCTTCTCTCTTCTCTCCTTCCTATTTCCCTTTTCCAGGACCAGAGATTAAGTTTATTGCTGTTACTATACTATAGTTTTTCTGTTAGTCCTCTTAAGAATGCCGCTAGTCTTTCGATATTATAATGCACGATTTAGACATGTGCAGCAAGAAGGAGCTTTATTGCTCCCATTGTAAAATTTATGCTTGGAAAATGCAATGGACCCCAAATAATTTACCAAATTTTTTACCAAACCTCTCACATGAGTGTGGAACCCACACAAACCCACGTGTGTGGATCCCACACCCATGTGAGAGGTTTGGTAAATTATTTGGGGGCACTATTATAACTCTTTATGCTTAATCTACTTGTACTAGTCAAAATAAATATGTGATGATCCATATCATGTATCAATTTGCCATCTAACTCATCATAAGAGGTCTTTGGAGACGAACCATTCCAATGAGCATGGGCTATATATGTGCATGATGGGTTTATCTGATGGACATGCCCACCAATTTAGAGAACAAAAATCATGCTACTTTGGAAATTAAGGAGTTGGTATTGCTGGTGTCCATTTTTGGAAGTGAATGATACATCCTCATAGGTTTTGAGAAAGTTTTATTATGTATCACAAGAAAATGAAGAGTTATTTTGCCTGGTCATATCCCATTTTGGCTTCATTCTTCATTTACTCAACTACGAGGAATATTGTAGAATGAGAGTGCTCCTTGTGACTTCATTGTTCTCTTTCAATAATGTTGTGTACTTACTATTTGCAATTGTGTTCTACAGGATGGCACCAACTAGGATTCATGTTACTTGTGCATTAGTTTATGAGAAAACATCAACAGGACGGATTCACAAAGGAGTGTGTTCAACTTGGATGAAGGTATTTATTCAACTCATTGGTGGTGGAGTCAGGTCTTCTAGAGTGGACTAATGTTGTGGTTTCATTAGACTAAATAAGAATAGACTAGTATACCAGGTCAATGAAATATTTCTGGAATGTCCATGTGACATAGATTTTCTAAATTTATTATGTTGTACTTCTTATATTACATGAATAAAAAGCCAGGTAGCGTTTGGTTTACTTTTCAAATCATGATTTTGTTTTTAAATCGTGATTTGGATGAAACATGTTAACCAAACATATTTTTAAAATACAACGCAAAATTACTTTCAAAACTCGTCTCTTCTCTCTTTTTTTTTTACTATCATTAATAAATCAATTAATCACTTTTTCTCTCTCATCTCTCCTCTCTGCCCTCATATTTTCTCATATTCTATATATCAATCAATCAAAAAAAAAAAAATTACAAATCATCCCAAAACTATTTTTAAAACTCATAACCAAACAAATTTCCTCTTTTCAAATCATTATTTAAAAACTCAAAACTCAAAACACAATTCCACACTTAAATCATTATTTTAAAACTAAAACAAACTGACCCCCAGTTTCTACATCTATATTGAAATTTACAGACCACTGTAATACAATTTCAGTTCATGTAGCTTTTACGGTCTCCTAAAGCAATTTTATATTTTTTTGGATCTCTTTCCAGAATGCTGTGCCACAGGAGGAACGCTGTGATTGCAGCTGGGCACCCATTTTTGTTAGGCAATCTAATTTCAAACTTCCTACTGATACTAAAGTGCCTATTATCATGATTGGCCCTGGCACTGGATTGGCTCCTTTTAGGGGTTTCTTGCAGGTTTGAGCTCATGATGTTCATTATTTTTGTCCAAGTTACAATTATTGCATGAGAATAGTGAAGCTAATATGTCTTATTGTATTTCAGGAAAGATTAGCATTGAAAGAAGCTGGAGCCGAGCTAGGACCTGCCATCTTGTTCTTTGGATGTAGAAACCGGAAAATGGTAAGTGATTTTACTGATGAGCAAGATGAATAATGTACTTGTTTATAAGGATTTTGATCACATGTTACTTACCCAAAAAAGAAGAAATAGAGTGATCAAATGCATTCCATCTTTTCAGGATTATATTTATGAGGATGAGCTGAACAACTTTGTCGAAAATGGTGCGATTTCTGAGCTGGTTGTTGCCTTCTCACGTGAGGGACCCAGTAAAGAATATGTTCAACATAAGCTGACACAGAAAGTATGACACTTATCTCACCTATCACAACACTTGCTGCAAAATAAGGGGATGTTTGGTGCAACTTATTGAGCTAGTTTTATTTATTTATGTTTGGAGTATGTTCCAGAATCCAGACCATTTGGCGCAGCTTTCTTTTTTCTTTTTTCTTTTTGATAAATATTTGGCGCAGCATTTTTGTTTCTTTTTTCTTTTTGATAAATATTTGGCGCAGCTGTTGCTTACAGCTTATTAGGCAGAAATAATTTAAATAAATTGAAAAAGTTGAAGCTGGGGGTGCTTTTGATTTCTGCCCTTTGATTTTAGCTTTCAGCTTACAAAAAGCTGCACCAAATCTGCCTAAAATGTAGAAGAACTCACCTGTTTATTTTGTGATGGTTAAGAATGTTCTTGTTTTCCCTTTGGTGTATTCAGGCATCAGATGTCTGGAACATAATCTCTCAAGGAGGGTACATTTATGTTTGTGGGGATGCCAAAGGCATGGCTAGGGACGTCCACCGAACTCTCCACACCATCGTGCAAGAGCAGGTATGCGCATGTGGGTGGGTTGAATCTTGAGTATCTGTATACACTGTTACTCTCCAGATCCTCTTTCTTTTTTTCTTTTCTTTTCTTTTTTTTCATTTTTTGAGAAACTGGTAACAAAACTTGTTTGATGTATTGTTTGTTCTAAGAAAAGTGGAACCAGTTTCAAAATTTCCAAAACTTTTGGAATAAATTTTTTTTTTTTCTTTTCAAAACGAATTTTTGTTCCTTCATCTCTCAACCCTAGGCCACCAGCTGGCCATCTACCTCATTCAACTCACAAAACATGTTTTTTGTTGTTTTCTTATATTTTCAAATTATGTGTGCATCAAACAAGTTCTTTGTTTTTTGTTTTTTTTCCCAAAAAAAAAAAAATGTTTCTTGTTTTCCATTAATAAAAAAACCAGGAAGGCAGAAACAATGTTACCAAACACCACCTAGATTTAGCTGTAGCAGCTAAGGATTGAATATGTTTGTTATGTTGACAAATATTGTTTTGGGGGCATTTGGGCTTGAAAACCGCAAAAAAAAAAAAAAATCTTTTCCACACATTTAAGGGTAGAAGTCCATCTCTTTTGGCATGGAAGTGTCAAATTCCATTTGGTCTCTTGTCTGTTTAGTTAATTACATGTTATGGTTTTAAAATTTGTAAGGCCTAACAAATGTTGTGAACGGATATTGTTTGATTTTAGGGATCTCTGGACAGCTCCAAGACAGAGAGCCTGGTGAAGAATCTGCAAATGAATGGAAGGTATTTGCGCGATGTGTGGTGATTACTCTTTCATTTCAGCCCCCCTTCACAAAATGAGGGGAAGAGATAAAATTGTGCAAATTATATACTTGCTTAGGCCAACTTACTGGGATTTTAAAGAAGCATGTGTGAAGGCAAAGTGGGAAGCCTACCATCGCCTTCGACTGCTATAAAAAAAGTGTGAATGTTGTTATAGCAGTTGGCTATTTGATTCATTTTATTCATCTTGCTCCCAAGTAAAAAAAAATTTTTTTTGGTTCGTGTAATTTATATACACAACATTATAAATAAATAATAGCAATAATTTTCAGGTGTAGTATTGATGGTTTTATTGGTAGAAATGTTGATTTTGGAATCATTACATCACTAGATTGAAAAATGTAAGATTTATATATACTTATTAAAAAAAGGGTAAATGACACCTATACCCCTTGATGTTTATCTTTAATATGAATCGCTCCTTCATGTTTTGAAAATTACACTAATCCTGTTTGACCTTACGGAGTTAATAGAAATGGTTAAGTGACTCTTTTGCCCTTTCACTATTTATTTACTGCCCTTATTGTGACAACCACCTTCAACAATCCACTATCTCTACGCCCACCTTCCACCTCCCATCTTGAACAACCACGTTCATCAATCCTCAATCTCACTGCCACCTTGCTGCAGTCGACATTGTCCCATGCTGAACTACCCCTCAACCTCCATTGCCACCTCTTTTACACCTTCACTACCATTGTTCCCAATCAAACCAATCCATATAAAAATCAGTTTCAAACCCAAATCAAAATCAATTAATGCACCAATCAATATCAAACCCCAATCAAATTCAAACAATTCACAAAATCAAAATAGAACCCTAATGGTATAACATCATCGCATGCAAAGTATAGAGCATTGTTGACGATTTCCATTGCACGCAAAGCATAAAGCATTCTTGCAATGAACCATCATGATCTCCATCATAGAGTACTATCACAACCCTAGAGTAGCATCTAGAGATTCACCCCCCCCCCCCCCCCCCCCCAAAAAAAAAAAGAAAAAAAGAAAAAGAAAAAAGTTATCTAGATCACCCTTGCAACCCTAGAGTAGCATCCAGAGCACTGTCACAACCCTAGACCACCATTCAGAGCAACATCGCAGCTCAGTAACAATCTCTATCTCCATCTCAATGATCTAGCAGCAATTTGTCTTTCTCTAGTATCCTGAACCTAGTCTTGGATTCTCTCTAGTACTTGTAGGGAAGAGAATGAGGAAAGAAAGGGTCCAGTGAGGTGGTAAAGGTGCGGCCATGAAATGTTGGGAGCTCATGGTTTTGGTGGAGCTTCTGAATTGGAAGCTTGGGATGGAGAATAGATGGGGAGGAGTGAATGGGTGAGGAAGGAATGAGATGGTTATGGTGGTGTGTTTGTAAATCAACCAATTTTGAATTTTTTTTTTTTTTTTTGGAGAGAGAGACTAAGAAGAGATGAAACAAAGAATGGATAAATAGAAAAGGGTAAAAATGACATTTAAAAATACAAATTGCTTAAAGTTGACTTCACAATTAACTAACAAAAGGGGCATATTGCAATATGATTATGAAGTTAAGGGAGGAGAATGTAAATCCCAAAAGGTGGAGGAGGAATCTATAATAGTGACAAACTTACTTCAGGAGGCGTGGATGTAATTTACCAAAAAAAAAATGGTAAATTACACTAACCTATCTTAAGGTTCGGAGAAAATACAAGTGTTACAAGTTTGACAAAATTATATTGGTGTTCATTAAGATTTTAATTCACATATTTAACTATATTTTCAATAGTAAATCATTAGTTATATTGATGGCAAATAAATGCTATCTTTTACACTGAATTATATATTTTACTTCATTAAGGCGAGATGACTTAAGTGGAAAAGTGCATCTAGGATACTGTATGATAAACGAGTACCTGCTAGACTAAAAGAAAATTTCCATAGAACAACCATTAGACCAGCGATGTTGTATGGGACGGAATATTGGACAACTAAGAAAGAATATGCAGATAAGATAAGTGTTACTGAGATGAGGATGCTAAGGTAGATGTGTGGCAAGACTAAAAGATAGAGTTAGGAATGAATATATTTGTGAATGGGTAGGAGTAACACCAATAGAAGATAAGATGAGACAAAATAAATTGATATAGTTTGGTCATATATAACGGAGACTAACAAAAGCAGTAGTGAAGAAATGTGATACAATGACTGTAGATTGACATGGGCTAGTGCAGTAAATAAATATATGAATGTCCTTAATTTGACTAACCAAATGTCTATTGATAGAGGCGAGTAAAGAAAAATGATTCATATAACCAACCTCGTTTTATGGAATTTAAGGCTTAATTTGGTTGGTTAATTGGTTATTTTTGAATTTTTATTTCATCTACATTAATTTAAGTCAATTTAATCTTATTAACAACGAGCTGTGTAATTATGCAAACATTGGGAGAATTTTTATATTTTCTCAAAATTCAAAGAAAGTCAACTAATTTACTTTAGAAATTGAATAAATTATGTTCATATCCCAAAAATTTTTGACAATTCCAAAACAAATCAAATAAAAATAAATAAAAATAAAAGTAGAGGGCGAATGTGATTTGGGTATTGTTTTCGCTTCGAAATGGGAGGAGGATGCGTATTTGCTTCATGAATCATGGAGGCATGTAAACATTGTTCCAAAACTGGTTTTGGAAATTCTAGAAAACAGAATTTTTCTCAAATTTTGGTCCATTTTTTAGGTAGGACTCATGCACCAAAGTTGGCGGGTCAAAGTGGTAACGCATTCTATGTCGCGTTATGAATCACGTGATATATTTTGTTGCTCAAAACCATTATTGGGTGAATGGAAAATTGAAGCCAAAGTGAGCTCTATGGAAATGGAGTTTTTGTGGAAATTCCTTAAAGTTTGTATAATGGCTTGTCCCACATTGATTTAGTGGGAAGTTTTGAGTGGGTTTATAAGGCATGGGATTGGAACTTGGCGTAAGCCCCAAGGGGCACCCAAGTTTTGTAGAGAGGGAGGTTATGGGCAAAATGGACTAGGCCCATTAGACCCAAAAATGCACAAGTGTGTAGTTGGATTGGGCTTGTTCAACCTAATATTAGTCTTTTTGGGCAAAAAACATTTGAATTTTATTTTATTTTTTGAAATAAAATCTGTCCAAAGAATTCGAAATTAATTCTGAATTTCTGTCCAGGTTAATTTCAATTTTTGAAATTCAAAACAGTTTACCCCTCTGTCCAACAGATCCGAATTTGTTACAAAACCAGAACAGGTTTTGTTCAAAATTCAAACACAAACAGATTCATATCTGTTTGAATTCAAACCCAAACAGTACCAATGCAAACCCAACAAGTTCAGTACCTGTTCAATTCAAAATAAAAGGGTGCCACTATATCTATAAATAGACTAGCCCTCATTTGATGTTTTCATTCAATTTTTTCGCCCAAATAATTATGCAACTATTCTCTACATATTGCCGCATTTTTTTCCTGTGAAAAAGAGTATAAACACTTTGTGTGTTCGTTATACAAAAAAATTGTAGTGCTGCTATTTTTCGTTGATTGATCATTTTATCCTGGGAGATAGACATCCATATTCTGAAAGCACTGTGGAGTGGACGAATCTGTCTTAAAGATACAGTATCGAACACTGGACTTGATCAGAATATTATTCAAGAATTAATCAAGTAAGTTGTTTATTTATTTTCTGTTTTTTAAATCAGATTTTGATTTTGTTTTTGTAACAAAATAAAATTTTGTTTTTATTTTTTTATTTTTTTCCTGGTTTGATTTTTGTAATCAAACAAATTCTCTCATTCCTTTATTTCGTCTGTATTCTGTTTGTTGTTAGGTACACAACATAATTTATTCTTCAAATACAGTGAAGATTGTCCAACAATCTTAAGACAAAATATTTTTTGGTGTCTTCATTGTATTTAATTTTCTGTGTTTTCACAAAAGAGATATTCTAGTTGAAAAACAAATAGTAGTAATATACTGTTTGACAGATAGTAGTAATACACAGTCTATTTTCTTTGACAACTAGTAGTAATATACTGGTGTTATTAACAATTACAGAATATTAATTTGTGTTACAGAAAATTATTGTGGTATTTTATTTTTCTAGTTTTAGTAACAAAGAAAATAAAATTATTTTGTGTTATAATTTATTTTCTGGTTTTAGTAACTAGAAAATTAATTTGTGTTTTGGTTTTTTCTAATTTTTGTAATCAGATATTATGGTTACTGCAACTGAAACTGCAACTGGAAGTGGTACTCCTATTGTTACACCAACTCCGATCCCTATCCAGAAACATGTTCAAGTTCCAATAAATCATGAAGAAAAACGGAAAAAATTTAACGGTACTGAGTTTAAGAGATAGCAGCAAAAAATGTTATTCTATCTTACAACTCTAAATTTGGCCCGGTTTCTCCGTGAAGAGGCTCCAACACTTAAAGAGGGTGAAAGTGATCAACAAGTTGTTGCCGCTGTAAATGCTTGGAAACATTCAGATTTCCTATGCAGAAACTACATCCTCAATGGTCTTGACAACATGCTGTATAATGTTTACAGCCCTCTGAAGTCAGCAAAAGAATTGTGGGATTCTTTGGAGAATAAATACAAGACAGAGGATGCCGGCACAAAGAAATTTGTTGTCAGTAAATTTCTAGACTTCGTTATGGTAGACTTCCAAACGGTAATTTCTCAAATTCAAAATTTTCAGATAATTTTGCATGATATTCATTCAGAAGGTATGTCTCTTAGTGAGTCTTTCCAAGTCGTTGCTTTAGTGGAAAAGTTACCACCGACTTAGAAAGATTTCAAAAATTATTTAAAACATAAACGCAAGGAGATGACCATGGATGAATTGATTGTAAGATTGAGAATTAAGGAAGATAACTGAAAGGCTGAAAAGAGGAATGAGAAAAATCCCATTGAGTTCAAGGCTAATGTGGTTGAACAAGTTCACAAACTACATAACAAAAAGATGAAGTTTACTGGAGATGGTCCTAAACAAGGCGACAACAATGGCAATAAGAAGTTCAAAGAAAAATGCAATAACTGTGGCAAGACTGGACATCGAACTTCTGACTGCCGCCACCCTAAGAAGGATCGCGGAAGTACAAGCAAGAAGACCACCAATCAAGCCAATGTGACAGAATTATATTACATCTCTGACGGGGTAAATGGCATCAATCTCTCTGCTGTGGTGTCTGAGGCTAATTTAGTTAGAAATCCCAAGGAGTGGTGGGTTGACACTGGACCAACTCGTCACATATGTGCGGACAAGAAGAT